CTGCCGCTGCTACTCGCTCTCAAGTGCGCGGTGTCATCTCGTAGGTGGACATCCTGTTGATGACGCAGCCGCAGTCGGGTCGCTGGGTGCACTTTGACACGGAGGTTACCAACAGCAATGGCCGGGTGACGTACACCATACCCAACGACAAGAAGCTTGGCCTCGGAGTCTATCCCGTTAAGATGGTGGTCAAGTAAGTGTTTAATTAAGCATTTTTTTAATAGTTCAACAATGCAATTTAGCCTTTCACCTTCCACTACATCTTGTTTTGAGGTGCAAAGAGAACATTTTAGACATTTTTTGGGTGTGTTGACCAGGGCTAGACTGGCACAAAAAAAAAAAAAAAATATAGCCCTGGCATTTTGACTGAGGCCTGCCAGCACAGCCCAGCCCGACCCCTGACCACTCCTGGCTGCATATATCTCTGCCACTAATGTTGATTGGTTCACTTTGGTGTCTATACAGTATTGTAAATGGATTAATGGGCTGCTCTTTCTAAAGTGTGGGCTAGTCTCTTGGGGTGAAATGGAGGAAAATAACACTTTGTAATTAAATAGCACCACATTGGCCTCAAAAGATGCCAACCCACCAGACATATGCCCTGTGTGCCACAATGACAGTCCTGCCCTGATGTCGACAGATAAAGCTTTTTTTTTGGTTTGGAACAGTAAAATCTCAAGTTATGCACTTTGTAACTTCAAACGTTCATAAATCGAGGTAATATTTCACTTTGACATGGATAGAAATGCAATTAATCCGTTCCAGCGCCAAAATTAACCTTTTGATTGCGGGGGGGGGGGGGTTCAATTTCTCACGTCTTTCATGGTAAATACTTCTTGAATTTTCATCAACATTTTGGGAAGAATTTATTGTGGGGGTTTAAAGAAGTGGGGGTGTTTCCCCACATTTCATGTCAATGGCAGTCAGATATGCGGTGGATTTATATGTGGGCCCACTGTATTTCTTCTTTCATTCAATTAGTTACTCATTTTATTTATTCAGGAGTATCACGCCACTCTACTATCAGTTGAAATTAGCATTTTCCAATACCCTAATAGAGCATCTGAAATAATATCAGAAAGGTGTACAGCCATTCTTCTTTATCCCTCAAGGGGAGATCAAACATCCGCCGAGGCCTACCTGACGGTGTTGCCCCGCGGCATGGAGTGTGTGGTCTTCAGCATCGACGGCTCCTTCGCAGCCAGCGTGTCTATCATGGGCAGCGACCCCAAGGTCCGCCCCGGAGCCGTGGACGTCGTAAGGTCCGTCCGTCTCCTCCTCGTCTGACCAGACACTTCATTAGGGACACCTGCATCTTACTGCGACCTGTTTTGTGTATAGGCACTGGCAGGACCTGGGCTACCTGATTATCTACATCACGGGTCGTCCTGACATGCAGAAAGAGCGGGTGGTGTCCTGGTTATCGCAGCATAACTTTCCTCATGGCATGATCTTCTTCTCCGAGGGTCTGGTTCACGACCCGTTGCGACAGAAGACCATCTTCCTCAGGAACCTCATACATGAGGTATAAAAGACAGTCAGACCCAAGACTGGAGCTACAAGTCGTGCATCTCTGTTGTTCTACATGGCAAAGCTACGCATGTCAAATTGTTTATTTTCCTCTGTGGGTAGTGTCACATCAAGATCAACTCTGCTTACGGGTCCATGAAGGACATCTCCGTTTACAACATGCTTGATCTCGGGCCCACCCAGATCCACATCGTGGGAAGACCTTCAAAGAAATACCAGAACCAGTGCCAGGTAGTATGGTTGGTCCGTCATCAAGTACAATGCTGTTGACTATTCTTGCTGCGGTTCGCATTCAAATACAATATTGGTTTCTATTGCTTCTCTGTGGGCTCGACGTAGTTCTTGAGTGAGGGCTACGCGGCGCACCTCTCCACTCTGCAGTTTGGCCACCGAGCCCGTCCCAAGAAGTCACCCTCGGTCCGCATGGTCCTCAGGAAAGGCTCCTTCGGCCTCACCGCCAAACCGGACTTCCTGTGCAAGCGCACCCATCTGCGCAGGACCATGTCTGTCCAGCAGCCCGACCCACCCTGCACAGCCAACCCCAAGCCCGAGCGGGCCCAGAGCCAGCCGGAGTCAGACAAGGACCACGGAGGGGGAGGCGGGCAAGGCGTGTGGGGACGTGGCGTCATGCATCGTGGGGACACCACTCCCTGACGTTGGGCCAGGAGACGGATGGATTGCTGGAAGATGGTGGAAAAGTCGAGGCTGAGGTTTGATCTTAAACTTTCATCAAAATCCTTATTAAAACCTCCGCATTATAATGAGATCTAATTTTGACAGCTTTCTCATATGGGATTTTTAAAAAAAATTCAGCTCCTGATGGCTGTTTCTCTGGAGTCTTGATTGCAAGATAAAAAAAAATAGAAACCAAACAGTGTTGTCATTTTCTACCCCAAGTAGTTCAAAGTTCAGCTCACACATTTTAAAATGAACTAGAAATGAACTTTTGCAGCGTGTTAAGTGCAGAAACGATCATACGTACTTGTACCGTTTTAAAATGCTTCTCCTGGCACTCCAGATTCCCATTCTTTGCCAGTCCCATCGGTGAATTGCAGAGAAAGCAAACTTTGAACGAGAATAATAAATAATGATGTATCCCAACAATTACCCAGAACTAGGCATGTCTATCATGAGCAGACCTACCAAAAAGTCTCACGAACCCATGCACAAAAATGCACAGGAAGTCTACCATTTTGTTTGGAAATGGGTCATTTCCCTGGAAATTATCTCTTTCCTGGAAACTCACTCAATGCCTGCCGTTTTTCTCAGATTGACAAATGTTTGAAGGCCGACAGAAAATTAAGTGCTCTAGCTCAATAAGCATGGAACCTACCAAAAGAAAGCTTTAACCCTCTTCCTTCAGGGAAAAAAAGTAAGTTTCCACCTTTCACCATTCTCTAGTAAGTTTCTAAAAAGCACTCTTTTCCAAAAGAAATTCTGAGAAAGAGCTTTTGGTGAAAGGATGCATTTCAATCAGAACATTCACTTTGAAGCTATTTTTGGCATTTGTGGTATCTCAAATGTCTAAACAACTCTTTCCGACTAAATACCTTTATTAATATTTTTTCATAAAAAACACCCAAAACGTATTCGTACGTTTTGACACCCAATTATTTGTTTTTTGCAAACATATTTTTACTTTTGGGCATTAAATGAGTTAAGTGTTGCCAATTTCCTTTCAAAATCAAACCTACAAAAGCGTTGTGCCTCTGTTCGAGAATTTCCAGATTTACCGATCAGTTTGTGTTTTGAAGCCGACGAAGTAAAAGGAAAAAAGTCCTACAGCAACCTGAGCGAAAATGCTATTATTAGCAGCGGCAAATCGGGAGGCCGTCAGAATGTAAATGCGCTCATAATGATGTAAGAGCTGATCCACTTGTTTCCAGATCCGGGGACAAGGACTACGACGGCGGCGACACAATCACGGGCGATGGCGGCGTGGTGGCGGAAGCCTGCGGGAACAAATAGCGCTGACGCGGCCATGCACATTAATCACAACTTTGCCGGCAACGTGACAGACTTCATTAACTCTTGGTCATATTCGCAGCTTCACCC